GAAATATTTGTCCCCCATTCCCTGGGAGAAGTTTGTTCTCACCTTTGACTGTCTCCTCACCTTCAGGAGGTGCTGGTGGTGGCTCCTGGGGAGGCCCTGCCGAGCTGGGAGGTTCCCCAGTGATGACAACTTGATTTGAGGCCGTGCTGTTCATTAATACTTCCCTGTGTGTAGCTGGGGGGCATTGCCTGGGCTGGATAATTGGATTTGGGAGGCCAAATTGTGACACCTCTTGCTGTGCAGCCACTTTCTGTGGCGATGCAGCTGATCCAGCATCGGGGCAATCTGTTCAGCCTTTGTCCTGGCTGGGGGAGAGAGGACCCACAGCAAGAGACTTCCCTCCAGAGCCCAGAGCAGTGAAATCCAGACCTTGCTCTGTGTCTAAAAACTGGTTCACAATGGTTTGAGGGAAAGCTGGCAGAAGTGAAGCCCTGCAAAGTCTTTATCAGCTTACACAGATTTACTGTGGGTTCTTTTCTGGAGATCCTTTGTAACACTCAAAGGCTGTTTCTCTGCAACCTGGATCCCTTTGTTCCTCATTTCTGTTCTTATTAAATTGAAAAATGAGAAGTTAGCAAGAGGTTTTTAGCCAGTTGCTCCTGCTTATTGCCCATACATCCCTTACAGGTACATTTTATGACTCTTCATAGGAGTCTGCTTAACAATCTCAAGCAATCCAAGGCTTCTTTGCTCTTCTTTAACAAAGGCCACAAATTACTCCAGTGCTCTTTTTAAATGCTCAATTATTTGGTCCTAGTTGGTGATTCTGTCAAATTCCAGAGTTTGTGAGCCTGCTCTGCCCTCAGACAGGGGAATGGCAGCTTAAATCCAGCCTCACACACTCTGGGTGAAATCCAGGCCCTGTGCAAGGCAGGTTTATCCTGTGGCTGCAGGAGGCCTCGAGCTTCTGAGCAGCTCTGGTGCCCTTTCCCTGGGGATGCTCTTGGATCTCTTTGTGATGGATCTAAAACCACAGTCACATCTGAGGGTGCTCAAAGTGACTGCTAAGCACAGCATCTGTGGTGCAGGGGGTGCTGCTTCCCCTCAGTCTGTGTAATGACTTCGAGGAATAAACGAGGAGAGTGTTCTGTAGTATTTTATCCACACACAGGGTGCAGGTTCTGAGCTCACTGGGTAACTCCTGCTTTGTCTCCCTGCTGGTTTGTTGGTCTGCTCAGTGCAGCAGTGATGGTTCTGCCCTGCTTACAGGGGCTGCTTTCTGGGCTTCCTGCTCTGACCCTTCCCTTCCCTGTCCCGTGTCCAACCTGGCTTCCCCAGCTCTTCCCTTCAAGTGCTGCAATGGTCTCTATTCCCACACCTTTGGAGAGCAGCCCTGGCAGGGATTGGGGCTGTGAAGGAGCTCATTGCCTTTGGACACCTTTGTGTGTTGGTTGTTCTCAGAATCACGAAGTGCTTTGGGTTGGAAGAGACCTTGTAGACCACCCAGTGCCACCCCCTGCCATGGGCAGGGACACCTTCCACCAGCCCAGGTTGCTCCAAGCCCCATCCAACCTGGCCTTGGACACTTCCAGGGATCCAGGAACAGCCACAGCTTCTCTGGGCAACCTGTGCCAGGGCCTCCCCACCCTCACAGGCAACAATTCCTTCCCACTATCCCATCTATCCCTGCCCTCTGGCAGTGGGAAGCCATTCCCTGTGTCCTGTCCCTCCAGGCCCTTGTCCAAAGCCCCTCTCGAGCCCTCCTGGAGCTGAAGCAACTCCCCAGGCCCTGCCAGAGCTCCATGGATCATGTCTGTTGGGAACAGGAGATGTCCCACACAGGGACAGTGAGGAAAGGAAGATGAGGAGGGGTTTCTCTGACAGAGGTTAAACAAAGAAAGTCCTCTGGTTTTGAAAGTTTGGGACCCAAAATCTCAATTTCTCTTTGGAGTGTCTGGAGAAAAGCAGCCCCTCCCACCCCTGCTCTGGTTGCTGCCCAGAGCTTCCTCAGCCACATGGCAGCACTGGCAGGGAAGCTGCCAGGAGAACCTTTGACTTCAGCTTCCTCAAGCGACTGTCGTGCTGAAAACTGCCTCGGGTAATTAATTAATTCTGCTGTAAATAGAAGGCTTGATATTCATCACCAGTGCTGGGGGATGTTTCTCAAGAGGGAAATGAGCTGGCAGGGCAGGGAAGCTCCCCGTGGGTGCAGGAGCCTCGTTACCCCTCCAGTGACATTCTGCAAGGAAACAAAACAGTCTTGGCTGGGTGGGTTGTTTTGGAGGGCAGGTCCAGGAGGGCAGGGATCCCCTGGGAGGTGTGACAGCCTGGGAGTGCTCAGCTGGGTTCCTCTGGTGATGGGATGGAAGCTGCCCCTGCCCAACCCTCCTTCCTCCTGTGGGGGCTTCTCCTCAGGAGTTGGTTGCCATGGAGCACCTTCCTGCACCACCCCCCTGGCATGGGGTGCCAGGAGAAGGCCAGAACCCAGGTTTGTGCCCTGCAGGCACAAACACAACTCTCAGTGATGCCAGTGGAGCTGGTCCCCATCCCAAAGCTTAGGGGGATGTCCTTTGTTTTGCATGTTTGGTTGCTTTTCCCCAGAACAGATATTCCCAAATTATTTTCAAAGCAAGCTTTTTTTAATCAGTTAAAATTGTTTCTTGATAATTGTTCTCGATGGTAAATTAACAAAGAATCATGGGATGGTTTGGGTTGGAAGGGAAGGACCTTCAAG